GTGCAGGGTCCTGGCCTAAGCACATCACATGCATGAACTCATTTAGAGCCCTATCAACCCTGTAAGGAAGGTACCATTGTCATCCCCATCTTGTAGAGGAGGGAAGTGAGGCACACAGAAGTTAAGCAACTCTCATACAACTGGTAAATGGTAGAGCCAGCCTCTGGGCCCAGGGAGTCTGTCCAGAACCCACGCTCTCAGCCGCGCTGTGCTATGTCACCTCTGTATGATCACACAAGGATGAGGCAAAATCCCCGGGAGAGAAGCATAAACAGATCAACATGAGAATTCAAAGAAGGGAAAGGTTTCTGGCAGACAACCAGAATCAAGAANACACACACACACACACACACACACACACACACACACACACACACACACACACACACACACACACACTGAAAGGCTTGTGGGGAAATGGTGTCAGGGTCTGAATGACAATTCTTAATGCTTCATGGACACTGAAATGGAGGAACCTTAAGTTGGAAGCAGGGAGACTAGTTACAAAGCCACCGCAGAGTCCAGGTAAGAGAGGCTAGTAATTTAGAAAAAAATAGGGGGGTGGTGGCAATTGAGAGACATGGTGGAATTCAGAGTACGCTTTGGAGGCAGGATTTGCTAGACTTGATGATAAATTGGATGTGAAAGGTGAGGAGGATCAAGGACCACAGTGTTTCAGCAACTAGGAAGGTGGAGGTGAGGTAGGCAAGACTGGAAGGTAACAGGATGAGAATCAAGAGTGCTTGTTGGGACAGGTTAAGTTTAAAACATCTGGGAGACCGCAAACAGAAATACCAAGTGGAAACTGATTCTGGAAGTCAGTGCTCAAAGAGGAGGAACAGGCTAGAGTCAGAAACATGGACTTGCCACCAGGTGGGTGGTGTCTACAGCCATGGAAACGTGGAGAAGCCCAAGCCCAAGTCCAAGGGCACTAGCATTAGAGTCTCTTCGAAGAGGAACCTGCCAAGAAGCCTGAAAAGGATTTGCCAGGGGTCAGGAAGAAAACCAGGAGAGCACCGTGTGGGGAAACAGAGAGGAGAGGGCGTCAGGGTGAGAGTCGGCTGAATTCAAGCTGCTGAGAGAGAGGGTAAGGGAGGCCAAGAAGTGCTCTTCAGGTCTGGTGAATCTACTATGGTGGGGCAGACGGCACACCGCGGGGATGGTGAAGAGGGAAAGTCTGGGGCGGAAGTAGAAGAAGCAAGTGTCTCCCACTCTGGTGAGGAGTGTGGCTGGAAGGGGCCTGGGTCTCGGAGGATGTTTTTAAAGATGAGAGTCAGAGCATGTGCTGATGGGAACGATCTGGGAGGAAGAAGGAGAGTGAAGGTGCAAAAGAGAGGGGTTAACCCTCCCTCAGACACAATGAGGGTGACCCTGACCTTGGACCTAGACCCAGCCCCTCCCCGGGCTGAATGGAAGGGAAATGCCTACAAGGCCGGGTGGAGGAAGCTGGGTGGGGAGGGCCTGCCTGGCTCTGGAAATAGAAAACCGACACTGGTAACTGAATAACTCAAGGAAAGGGGGCAAAGGCACTGGCAGAGTCTGAAGGAGCAAAAATAATCTGTCCCGCTTGGGCAGCGAGGCGGATCGGATGTGGGTGGCAGACAGGCCTGGCCCGTCGTGCCTCAGTCCACAGCACCCCCTCCCTGGCCTACAGGGGTGAGCACTGCTCTTCTCAGTCTTGCTCTGGCCCAGCCAGGAGCAATCGTTCCTGGTAGACAGAGCATCACCAAGTGAAGGTCATGCACTCAGCACCCAGGTCAGTGAGCTTGATTCTCTCTTTCTGCGCCAGACTCCAAGCGAGTGTACCACCCAAACAGACTGAGACAGGGCAGAGCCACACCGAGCCCCAGCCAGGCAGACAAGGCCTGAGCCCAGGGTTCCAGATAGGCTGCCCTGCTGCCCTTCACCCCTCTTGCCACCCATTCTCTGACCACACCCGCTGACCCAATCTTAGCTCACCTCCCACCCCTCCAGGAGGCAAGCCGTGACTGTGCCAGCCTCTCTCGGATCTCCCTCTTTTGAGGACCAGAAGCTCGTGCCACACATCTCCCCCAGCACACATCTCCACACACAGCTAGATGATAGGTTCCTCAGGGGGGATGCCGATCGAACAGCGTCTATGACTTGGTGAGGGGTAGGTTGGTTTCTGAGTGCAGGAGCTACTGAATGAAGACCTGGGCTTTCTCTCTTTTTGCACCTCTGTCATCCCTCACCTTGGGGCCAAGTCTCCCCCACTTCTCTCTGCTTCACCTTCTAGCTCCCCAGGCTCACCTCTAAGGTGGCAAGAAGCAAGAGGCACACCTGCTCACCCAGCGGACAATGCGGGGGGACGGGGTGAGACCCGAAGGGGATGCTCTGCTCTGGGCTCATCCCCCAGATCTACCCCCCACCCCCACCCCCCGCATGCCATCCCGGAGGAAGGAAGGTGCCAGGCTCCAGAGAAGGGGGGTTGGGCCCCTTTCTCTTGAGGAGGAAAGGAAGGTGAGAATCACTGACCTGAGAAGTTTCCATGAACTCTGGCCATGAGGGAGAAAGGCGGGGGAGAGGACAGCAAGGGCCGGGGAGGCAGCAACCTGGCAAAGTGGTTTCCTTGCTGCACTTCTAATTGGATCCTGTGGCAAACAGACATGCTGGACCTGCCCTGAGGAATGAGAAGGGCTGAGAACCACTTGCCACTGGGACATTAGAGGAATGAGTGGTGTTTGGGGTAAGGAGAACCATGGCCCTGGACAACTGGAGGCTGACCCTGGGCGAGGGGAGGCAGCTTACCCTGGACGGACAACTAAGGCTGCACCCATCCCACCCCTTCTGCTCTCTGCTCCATAGACGTGCCATGTGTTTATAGGTAAACTATGTGAGTGTGAGCGAGAAAGGGCTGAGGTTGTTCCTCAGAAGTACCAAGCTCTGTATGCCCCAGCTGCTGACTGAGCCTACCTACCTCCCCTGTCCCCCCTCAATATGTCTCTCCCATGCTGATGGGAACAAAGAGGCCTCAAGTTTCTAGTTGTAAAAATCGGGGAGGAGCAATCAAGAACAAAGATCAAGGCTTCGAATTTTCCATGACACTGATGCAGGGGCGGGGGTGCCATGCCTACCTGGCACAGTTCCCATCCATGCCCTTTGGGAAGCAGGAAGCTGCCATCGGAACACGGGGCAGTGCCAGCCTTACTATCAGCATGATGCCTTCTCCTGGGGCAGCCTTGGCCCATGCAGGCTGTCTGTGCAGAGCCTCCTGAACTCTAGGTCCCTCAAGCCCAATTCCTCCCAGAACTCTGAGATCAGATAGTCTCAAAGGCCAGGAACTCACCCAACAGCACCCCCAAACCTGCAGCACAGCTCAGCGGTCAAGGGTCAGAAGGGAGAAGGGGACCATGGACAGAGGACAGGAGAATAAGGGGTGGACTTTGGGTGGGTGGGGTTGTAGTGGAATCCATGTGCGGGGTGTCGAAGGGGGGCTGGGACTGGGCTGCCTCCCAGGGCACGGCTGACTTCTGAGGAGCCAGCCTCCTTGTATCCCTGCCCCCACACCTTGCACCCTACTCTCTCAGCTTCTGGGAGACTAGGGGAGCCAGGACACAGAGGAGTAAGAACATGATGGTACATCTGTTTAATGGATGTTAACTATTAAAATAAAAGTGAAATAAATCTACACAAACTGACAGGGAAGTTGACAAAGGTATATTAAATGGGGAAAAAAAGTAGATTCTGATACTATTTTGTTAAAAATAATTAAACCTAAAACTACTGCATCTGGATATGTGTATCTAAATATGTATTTGAATGTTCTTAGAAAGAAGTAAGAAGGATAAATGCCACATTGTTAAAAAAAAAGTTACATCTGGGATAATTTGGATTAGAATGAGGGTGGGGAAGTGTGGTTCAGAGTGATTCAAGTGTGTCGGTAGAGCTGGGCACGCACGCGGACATGCCAGGTGAGCACGCGCATGCGCGCGCACACACACACACACACACACACACACACACACACACNTCACAAGGATGTATAAAGTACAGTATGGGAAATATAGTCAATAATATTGTAAAACTATCCAGTCAGGTGAGTACTGGACTTATCAGGAGATCACTTCATAAATTATATAAATGTCTAACCATTATGTTGTACCTGAAGCTAATATAAAATAATATTGAATGTCTACCATAATTTTTTAAAAATAGTCACAGAAATATATAGTACAGCATAGGGAATACAGTCAATAATATTGTAACAACTATGTACAGTGTCAGATGGGTAATAGGCTTATTAGGGTTATCACTTTGTGAAGTATATAAATGTCTAATCGCTGTATTTTGTACACCGGAAACTAACAACAACAGCAACAAAAGTGTCCTCTAACCCCTTATGTGCTTGCCTTCCGTGTGTGTGAGGGCTGGAGAAGGGGGGGGGGGTCCTAAAGCGGGATAAAGGCAGGCTGGGTGTCTTCTGCATCTTTGTACCTTCAGCGTCTACACAGGAGCTATGCTCAAACAATACTTGAGAACGGCTTTTGCCACCGGGGGTTCCTTCCTCTCCCGCAGGAAGAGAGACAGCCCGCTCCGGAAACTTGACTCGAGCCCTTCCCAGCATTTCTGAGGAACGGCGGAGCATCACGCTCTCTCCGCATTCACCTCCCCCAGGGGCGCACAGGGCGCTGCTCTTCCCCCCCCACACTCTGCCGCCCTCTAGCGGCGCCGACTGCTGGGCCGCGCAGAGCGCACGCGCTCCGGCGTCCCCCGGCCAGCTTGTCATTTGGCGCGTGCGCACCGAGAGTGGGCAGCTCCGAGGACCCAAGAGGCAGGTAAACAAGCTGAAGCGGCCAGGTAACTGGGGGTGCGGTCCGGAAAGGAGCTAATCTGGGTTCGCGGCTCGCAGGTCCGGGGATTCTGGGTTTCGCTTCCGACTCTGATGGGCTTGAAGCGTCGCTTTTTGCCAGGGGGCGTGACCTGAGCCCGCCTCCCGCGGCTGGGGGCGGGGCGCCGGGGGGGCGAAGGCTGGGGGAGGATCTCCGAGGCCTGTATTACTTTGGTGTCTGTTGTTTGTTCAGGAGGGTTTTCTTGAGGAGGGCACAGAGTTTGCAAATAGGGGACGGGAAGGGGCGAGGCTGGACCAGCTAGGAGCTGGGGTGCCCTGAGTCCCAGGTAGGATAGGAGCTGGGCAGGTTGGGGGAGGCGGGCTCCTTTCCTCCGGTTGTATGTAGGGGTAGGAGATGCTACAAAATGAAGGCCTGGTAGAAACTGTGCAGGTGTTTGGGAATCACACTTAGGACGGCAATTGCGTCATTTTTGTACTTTCACTTTTGTCATTGTTTCTTCTGGCACAGTGTGGCCACTAACTGCACTCACTTAACTCTGCATGCTAGGACATGACACAGGTGGCATATGCCAGCCATGGGAGCCCAGCATTCCACCTCTGCCCGCCCCCCTTCCTACAAGAGAAAGAAAGATGACAGGGAGGATTTTCTGGATGAGCGGGAGCAGGAAGAAGCTATTGCCCAGTTCCCATATGTGGAGTTCACCGGACGGGACAGTATCACCTGTCTCACGTGCCAAGGGACAGGCTACATTCCAACAGGTAAGAATCTTTGATCATGAAAAGGATTATTCCCATCGAGAATCCCAAGGTACTCGGAGGGCTTCTCCTGTCTCCTATATAGAGCTTTTATTCTAGGCAGTAATATAGTCATATACTGTGCTCTGAACAGGAGCCAGCTTAGCTGACTTGATAAACTTGGGCAGGTTCCACAACTTCTCTTGGTTTTCTTATATTTGAAAGCCTTGCTTTTCTTCACTTCCATTCTTTGGTTGTTTCCTTGGTTTAGAACATTTAGTTTTATTAAAGAGCAAAAATTCAGTCTAGTAAATTTGAAGATCTAATGGGCTATATTGAGCGACTCAGGAATCGAGCAGTATCCCATTTAGAAGCATAGAGCAACCCTGAGAAGCTGCCTTTTATAGGCAGAAACTGTGGGACAAGAAAGTTGTTAGCAAAAGAAAAGAAAGAATTATGTCAGACAAGGGTACTTTTCTGGGTGTGTGTGTCGGGGGGGAGGTGTTGATGGAGAGGCCCACATGACAGATTACCCCGTTGGTACTGACCAGAAAATTCCAGACTGACAGATTAAGATTACAGTCCTGGAGAAGGTTGAAACTGCAGTTATGGGTCAGGTATAAAGTCTAGGTTCACTGTCCTGGGCTTTATTTAGCACAAGTGACCCCATTTGGGACCTGTGGTTTTCTCTTTTAACAGCTTGCTGTATGTGGTAGGATTTGTTGACAGGTACATTTCTTTATTGCTCTCACTCATAAGGCCTAGCACAGCTTTGCCCGGTGTGTGTGTGTGGGGGGGGGGCCAAATTGGGAGCTTTTGTTCAAAGAAGCAGATAATCATTAACCTAAGGTATGAAAAATATATCAAGTGAGGAGAGAAAAACAAATGCTCAGGAGTAGAGCCTGGATTAGGTGCAGGGTTATCTATCACAAAGTTGGCCCTCAGAAAGTCATAACGGTTTAGGTAGAGAGTCACAAAGGTTTAGAGAACTACTCTGAAGACTTCATATTAGGAATAAAGATGTGTGGCCTAGAGAGGTAATGATTTCCCCAGGGTCATGCAGGAAAACCAAAACAAGATCCTAGATTTCTCAACTTCCACATCCCTATCCTGGCAGCTTTGATAGATGTTTTGTAATTTATGGCACTCTCTACAGATTTACTTGTTTCTTGTTCATTAGACCCAAAATGTGAAACTAGTGTCTTAGAAATGTCTAATTCCAGACAAGTTTATGTTATAGCAGGGTGATGTGGGGTGTGGAAAGTACTGCCAACACATAGGACTTATTTTACCAAATAATTGTTTGGCTCTTTTCTAGAGCAAGTAAATGAGTTGGTGGCTTTGATCCCACACAGTGATCAGAGATTGCGCCCTCAGAGAACGTGAGTTACCTGTCTCTCTCCTGTTAATACCTACTTCTGTCCCTAGTCCCTTTTTATATGTATGAATGCCAGCTAACTTTTTGAAAGCTTTTATCTGTTCTTGCCAATTCTTCTATTTCCTCTACTACTATTTGCTTAAGCAGGCTATCTTTGCCCCCATCACTATCTGGGGAAGGAAATTTGAAGCTAGAATCATTCTAAGGGCCAAATGAAGGAATTGAATTGGAAGACATTGGAGAAGGGGGTGGTATCCTGGGAGGTTAGGAAATGTTTCCGTCCACACAGCCCGTCTCTTCATTGCAAACATTGCAAACAGCACTCCAATGGGTTTAAAAGGCTTCTTCCTCTCTACTTATTCTTGCCTGGTCTGTGGTTCCTAGCCCTTTGCATTTTCCTGTCCCTCCCGCCTCTTTCCTGGTTTTGCATTTAATCTTAACTGGTTGGACCTTGATATCTGACTGCTCGAGTCGGTCATGTGCTGTGTCATTTGCAGTAAGCAGTATGTCCTCCTGTCTGTCCTGCTCTGTCTCCTGGCATCTGGTTTGGTGGTTTTCTTCCTGTTTCCACATTCAGTCCTTGTGGATGATGATGGCATCAGAGTGGTGAAAGTCACATTTAATAAGCAGGACTCCCTTGTAATCCTCGCCATCAAGGTAAGATTTAAGGCCTCCTTTCTTGGGTTGTGCACCTGCGAGTCTTGGACCCAAGATACTTACACTGTTTTCTCACTTGCCCTGATGCAGGCCACCCTGAAAATCAGGAACTCCAACTTCTACTCTGTGGCAGTGACCAGCCTGTCCAGCCAGGTTCAGTACATGAACACAGTGGTTGGGTCATATGTGACAACTGACGTCTCCCTCATTCCACCTCGGAGCGAGCAACTGGTATGCTGTCCTTTTAGGATCCCTGCCCCTCAGGCCTGAGAGAAGAGTAGGGGCTGTGGGAATGCCGTAGCCGCATTCCTCTTTTCCTCTCATTCCCACTTGTAGGAACTGATTGATGAGGAAGACCTGATGGGCTCTGTAATTATGAAAAATTAGGAAAAAAGTCAGCTAGAATTTAAGTAATAAGGGAACAAAAGCATTTGTCAAAGAAAGCAATTTGCTACAAATCAAGAAGAGGCAGGATGATAGTCTGAGATCCACTGGCCTCTCAAAAGGGAAGAGGTTGGAAGCATTTGTTAGTGGCTCATAGTCTGTATGAGGGATAATCTTGGGGAAATATTCTGTATGTGATGGAGGGATACTCCGGGTCTTTGGATGCTAACAATAGTACTGTTTCTGTGTCAGTCCTGCTTGGCCACAGACTAACTCTGGTATCTTCTTTTCAGGTGAATTTTACGGTGCAGGCTGAGATGGGAGGACCATTTTCCTATGTGTAGTAAGGACGGTGTTCTCTGTGTGTGTGTTGTCCACTGGATGAAAGGGATGCAGAGTTGTACGCAGTTGTTTGGAGCTCATCCTGCCTTAAGTCCCAGCCTATAGGTTCCCTAGTTCTGGCCATCTTGAGGTTTATTTGGAGGATGTGTTTTTTGGTATGTGACTAAAGTGCTGGAATTTCTAAAAGAACATTAAGCCGCTCAAAACATTTCCAAGCTCTAGCAGTTATATGATGGGTTTGAAAAAAACAAAAAGTGTGGGAAAATGAAAAGGACGCTGGTGACTCCATGTGAGCCATGTCAGCACTTAGGGCAGGAGGGTGGGTGTGGGGAAGGGGAGACACTCCCACAAGGCTGACTGCTTCTCAGTTTGACAGTGTTTGGCAATCTTCTGCTGATGCGCCTTTTTTTTTTAACCAACTGACCGTTTCCATATTTGCTCTTTGGTAGCTTCTTCTGCACATTACCTGATATCCATGTGCACAACATAGTGATCTTCATGAGGTACGTCACTCTCATTCCCTGGCCTTTGCGTGAGCTTGCCACCTCTGCCTGGGAGGTCCTGTGTGACCCAAGGGCAGAGGCACCCAGCTAAAGAGGGGACACCCAGTGTTTTACAGGCACAGATGCCGTGACTCTTGATATAGTGTCCAAATCCCCTTCACAAATCACCAGACTCACAGTGAACAGTTAGGCATATAATTGTCTCCATGAAATGGGGTCTAGTTTTACAGTCCCTGTGGAATCCCAGTAAGATTAGTAAAGAACAGAAAAGCTTTCTCAAGGCCTAAATACTGGCTATTTAGCCAGACTTACATGTACTACTTTCTAGTCACACAAATTCCACATGTCATGGACCCTTGAGAGTATTCCTAGAACTATGACTGTTAAATTTGCAGGTGACCAGTGTCTGCTACATACATTTAAAATATGAGTGTTTAGAGCAAGGTTTCTCAGCTTTGGCACGATTAACATTTGGGGCCAGTCACTTGTAGAGGGCTGTCCGGTACATCGTAGAATGTTTAACAGCATCCCTGGCCTCTACCCACTAGATGCCTGTAACACGCCTCCTTCCTCCTCAGTTGTAACCATCCAAAATGTCTCCAGATATTGCCAAAAAGCCTCCTGTGGGGAAAGGTCTTCCCCAGTTGAGAACCACTTATCTAGAAGGTCACCTTCATGGCACAGCATCTCTGTGGATATAGAGAGAGCCTCTGGCCTTCTGGTTATGTAACCATGGAGATGAGTGTCAAGGACCCGTGGCTATTATTGCCTAAGCTTGCAAGAAATTATTTGGGCAGTTTTCTTATTTCATCTCAAAAATAGAATTCTTGGTGTCTTTTTCCTAGAACTTCAGTGAAGATTTCATACATTGGCCACGTGACCCAGAGCTCCTTGGAGACGCATCACTATGTGGATTGCGGAGCAAATTCCACAGCTGTTTAGAAACTGCTCCTGGTTCTTCTGTGGCAGCACCTCTCAGAAGACAGCATCTGCTCCCAGGGCCTGAGCTCCTTACCTACCCCAGGTGGCAGAAGTAGAGGAGAAGCTACTTCTCCATCCCCAGCAAGCATCCTCCTGCCACTTAGGAAAATGCCTTTCTGCAGCACCATTTATGTCTCTCTGAACCAGCAGAATCACTGCCCAGTGCCCAGCCTATGCCCAGCAAATAGTAGGCACTCAAAGAAGGTTTGAAGAATTTAACTCAGATCTTTTCAGCCGTTCTTGGAGCATTATAAATTGAAAGCATACAGTGGTACTAGGTTATCAAACCATAGAGTGACATGGAGATAGGGCTGTTAGTGCAGCTGCACAGCTATTATCAAGACCTCATCTGCGCAGAAGAGGCAGCAGAGAGGGAACATTTGAATACGTAAAAGAAGAAAGCACAGACCATTCAGTATGTGAAATTTTTTCATCTAAAAACCTAGGAGCTTTAAAAAAAAAGCAAAACTTTTTTTCCTGTAGAAAGTTATAATTGTTTTTATCGAGAGTCTATGTGGGGCTTGATTTACCCTTCATCCATTGGCTGGAACATGGATTGGGGATTTGGTAGAATAATAAATCCTGCTTTTGGTTCATCTGCGTCTCCTTTCTTGCCTGGATGTCTTTGTAGGTGCCTCTGGGGAGCTGTAGAATAGTCGCCTGCTAAGTATGTCAGCACATGAAGGGAAGGGAAGACAAGGAACCCTGATCAGTGCTGTCCCCGGAAGCTCCAGTCACAGAAAGCAGCCTTGCTTCATCCGCCTCTGGTGGTGCCAGGCTGCCCTATTGCTCTTCTAGAACAGAGCACTTAATGCCCCCTGGAGGTTGGAAGGGGTAGAGCAAAGATGCCTGAGGAGTAAGAAGCCGCTGCCTGAGGAGGAATCAGCGTCCTGTGCTGCTGATTAACAGAGCCTGGCTTGAGGTTGAAAGTTTCTTGGGCTGTCTCCGTGCTGTCAGCCATCGAAGAGTGGGCTACCGCCCCACGATGGCAGAGAATCTAATTGGGAAACCTGAACAGTCAGGTTTCAGAACTCAGCTGAGGAAACCCTAACAGCAGCTGCAGGTGCCAGGGGGTTTATATAAGTCTTCATTCCCATAGCTTGACCATAAATATTTACTTAATGATTTTGACACTGAATCTTTATTTCAGTCTAAATTTTGTGACTATTTGGCTGCCATTGATCATGACTGAGTAACCCAGAAGCTGAGGGTTGAAAGCTGAGTTTCAGCGTTACACTGGATCCTTTAATGGTCTCTGTGAACACGACAGTGATGACTGTTCTGTGTATTGATGATGAAACACGACTTGTATGGAAGCAAATGGACACCATTTCTCAGAACATGCCTTAGACACATGAAGATGTCCACATTGCTACGTTTTCAGTTTTCCCATTTTCCAAATAGCCTCTAGCATATTTTTCATGCAATTTTGAAAAAGCTACTCATATTGGTACTTAAGTTTTAATAACTTTTGTCACTGCCTCAAGAGCATTTCTTGCTTCTCAGTATCACCTTAAATCCAGCTGTGATATTCAAATGAAAGCACTTGTTTTAAACATACAGCAGTAAGTCTGACCTCATAATGCTATGACTTCTCATACCTATTGATATTAGCATCTCAAACTTCACTTTGGGATGTTCTGCATAGTTGTGTCATGCTATCTGTCAATTATTGAGTAAATGCATGGAATTGCTCTCAGCAACGTCAAAATGGGGAAGTGGCTGGCTCAGGTATCATTGCCGTCATCATTGTATTTCTAGTGGATTGAGATTTGGAAAGAATGTGTTTCTTGGAGATGAGGCTTCACCAAAGATCTCTCTAGCTTCTGGCTTGCTCTCAAGCTACTTATATTGTGTCACCTGGTTGAAATCTCCCTTTGTTCATTTACCCCAAAAAAGTCCTGAGCACCTGCTCTATGCTGAGAATTGCATTTTCTGATGTGATTTGTCCAGAGTCATAGCTAGAAGTTTAAAATACCATCACAAGCCATTTATACTCACCAGGCCCCATCTAGGCCACAATTTACCTCTACTGCCTTTGATGCAGCTCTAGTTACCCCAAAGCAGGATCCCCACAACCTCTGGGGCAACTGACCCCAAGTGTGAAAGAAATAACTAAAAGAATACACCTTTTGTAAAAGCTCTACATGACTCTAAGGGGTCCCAAGCGTTTCCTCTGGGCAAAAATAATCCTTTGCTTTAAAAATTGCAATAATTTTTGCTTTTGTAAGTAAGACTCTTCACCTCTAGAGCACTCTAAGTCTGTCCTTCACTTGTTTAGAAGGGGAAACTGTTTCAGAAGCTGTTCTGTGATTTACCCAGGATCCAGGGCACTTGAGTCTTAGCTGGAGCTCATACTCCTGACTCCTAGTTAAAAGCCTTAGGACACTTTCGTGGCAATGAGGAAGCTCAAGAGAGGAAAAGGAACCTGACTGAGGCCTCACAGTTAGGAATTCAGGTCTGTCTGCTCAATCCTACTGATGTCAAGAATTTATATGAGAGGTGGAGAGACCGTCTGCCTTTTCTGGGGCCTCAGGGATCATGGGTATTAGTAATGAACCTGGTTACTCCCACCTTCTCCTCTTGGCCAGATTGGGACAAGGGAGCAGCAATAAGTAGCACAGCACCGCCAGCCAGGGTGGTGCGTTTCGATTTGACCACAGAGGCAGGGCTTTCTGTTCCATCGCTTCTCTTCCCTTGAGATCTACCCTCTGGTTCACTCCTCGATTACTATGCAGCAGTTACTATAATTTCTAGGTTTTACCAGGAACCCAGGACGTGGGTGGGCTGCAAGGGATCAAATTGATACCCTGGTGCAAATGAGACTTCTCTTACAAAGGTCTGAGTTGCTAGTCACGATCTACTGAGCTGCTTTGATGCCACAGTGGGAAGTGAGATGAGCTAGGAAGCAGGATGGGCTCTCCTGAGGTGTGGTTAACAAGTTAGAACTAAACTGTTCAGCTCCACCTATTGTCTAAGGAAAAGGTTTCACAGGCATCCGTACACCTCACTGCTCTCCCCCTGACCCCCATTAGCTCTCTTGGTAGATAGAAGGGTTTTTAATTTATAGCTATTCTACTTATGTGTTCTTAATTATGTTTTCATTTTACTCTTCTAGTGTGTCGTGAACTAGCCCCCTGTAGTGGAGAAGGTGACAGCTTCCTCATTCTTGCCACACATACACAAGCCATTGGAAAGCAAGGGACACCTGATGGTAGGGAAAAGTGGGAGGCTGTCCATTCATAAACCTGGTGTTGAGAGGAAGCCCATGGACGCTTTAAGTGCAGGCCCAGGAAGTGTAGAATGGGTGCCAGAGGGACAGGTGCAGGAGAGGAATAAGGAGTGGGTATCCCTCTTCACCTAAGTCTTAGAGAAAGACACAAATAAGTAGATCACCAAGATTATCTGATTGTGTGCATTTAGCATGGGCCCCTGCAGATTCACTCCCTGTCCCTCCTCCTTCACCCTGCCACCCTTCCCTTGGGAGCATCTCAGATCTCTCCCATTCAGCGAGATGTGGCCCACACATTGTCCCATCGCCTGAGCTCAGAGCTTATCACTTCTCTTGCACTAATGTGCCCTAGAATCATGCTCCATGTTTACTCTGAAGAATAAGGCCATCCCTCTTTTGTGCCTTTTCCCCCAAATGTTGGTTTCTGGTCCCAGTTCACCCCTGGGTTCCACACAGTGCCAAGGTTTACCAAAAAAGGCAAGTTTGTGTTTCTGTGAGGTCGCTAAACCAGGCACTGTGGCTTCAGTGTCCTCCCTTTTGGTTGAAAAGTCAACAGAAGAAGGCCGTTTGGTCATGCCTACAGAATCAAGGACCAATGGGATAGAAAGAACAAAGCCCAAGACAATATGTACTTTCCAATAATTTTTTTTTGTTTTTAATATCAATCGATGTTTTAAAAAATACAGAGGTGTTTGACACAGAATAGCACCATTGTGTAGGACACACACAGTTCCTGCGCCCGGCACCTGAAGGGGCGTCTTCTTGCCTGGGCTGGGGGGCCAGTCGCTCAGGGGGCATTTGACTCACACGAGTTAGTTTCCTGCCTCTGCCTTGACCCAAAGGTCTTACAGGAAGACAATAAATAAATAGAACATCGAGATTTTATTTTGCAGTCTGCCCAGTTCAGGCCTCTTAGAAAGAGAGGGGGGAAAAGTCCAAACTGTGAAAGGATGGGATGAATGGACATCAGGTCAGGTCAGCCATTCAGTGCAGAGTCCTAGAGTGACTGGGATTGGAAAGTACTTGGGTCCTTTGGGTTTGCAATGGATTGTGTTGTTTCTGGTTTCGGGTTTTTACAAGAAGCAGACAGGCCCTATGTCCACACCAAATTCCTGCTCGGGCCCTCCTATGTCCATGGGTGCAATGTCAATGATGGGCAGGCGTGAGGTCTTCTGTGACCGGTACTCGATCATAGTCTTGCCCCACTTACCGGTGTGTTTCTAGGGGAGAAAGAGAAGAGACACTTTTCAGTGCATGCCTTACAATCCAATGCCAGCTTCCCAGAACCCCCAAACTGAGCATCATAGAACACCAAGTGCAAAACACACATGGGGCTCCTTAGACCTCTTCTTGGCTGGCCCAAGCCCTCTCCAGGTCCACTCCTGTCCTAGCAGGGCCTCCTCCACCAGCCAAGTGAACTCCCCACTCCCCACAGTGAACTCCCAGCCTATGACTCCCTCATCACTCCACCTCATAGGCAGTCCATCCATTATTACCACAATCCTCCTACAAGAGCAACTGGACACACTGAGCAGGGTCTTATTTCCTCTAAGCCAAGGGTGTGAGCGAAATAGGACAACATGCACCTCTCCCTCACCTGTCACTCTGCATGTCCTCTCTACGTAACCCCTCACACTCATTTCTCTGATAAGCCCATCACTTTAGGACCATGACACCTGTTGGGGACCAAACTCCCACCCGCTCCAACCTGAGCCCCCAGCCAGAGGCAACTCATCTCTCTGGCAGCCCCAGTCATCCTGACTCACCGTGCAGCCATCCTTCAGGACGGTATACGTGAACCTGCTGTTGCCCTCAGCCCGGATCTCCACGTCGTTGGAGCCCTGGATGAGCAGGGCCTTCTTGAGGTTGCCAGCTGCTTCGTCCAGGTAGGCAATGCTGTTCTTGCAGTGGTAGGTGATGTTCTGGGAGCCCTCAGTGGAGAGCAGGCGCAGGAAGGTCATCTGGACATTGGCAGTGTTGGGAGCCAGGTTGTCATCGCCATAGCTGAACTGTAAGGACAGAGAGCAGTGATATGAGGCCCAGGAGTGGAATTCAATGGGACCAAGGGCTTCAAGGGCTGCCAAGTATCCAGGGTTCAGGGGAGCTAAAGGGGGCTCAGAGACTTGGCCACTGGGAGGATGTTTTTGCCTCCAGAGAGTAGAGCAAGCCTTTGAGGACCTCTTCCTCCACCTCTAAATGGGAGAAAATACTATTCCTCTTCTTTCCTTCCTCTTAAGTCCCAAAGAAAACCAGTGAGAATGTGAGCAAGGTGCTAAAAACTTCCAGGGAAAAAGAAGAGAAAGATTTGAGGAACTATCTCTGGCCTAGAGCAACCGGGCACTCACGTGGAAGCCACCATTGATGGTTTCTCCAAACCAGACATGTTTCTTGTCCTTGCTCTTGCTGCTCCACCAGTTCTTCTTGGGAACGTTCGCTGGGTTGGGGTAGACGCAAGTCTCGCCAGTCTCCATGTTGCAGAAAACCTTCATGGCGTCTAAGGTGCAGCCCTGGTTAGGGTCAATCCAGTAGTCTCCTACAAGGGGGAAGAGGCGACACCCTGTCAGGGCTTGGACAGGCACAGACACACTCTCCCCAAAGGGCCAGAACAGAAAGGCCTACAGGGACCGCAGGGGAGAGGAGCAGGGTGTGAGGACCATGCGTGGCCCAAGGGAGGGGAGAGGACATGGAGGGATCAAGGGCATGGAGATCTGAATGGGACCGTCCAGTGCTAAATGGGGGTGCAAGCAATAGGACAGGAGCGGTGCCTGCCCAGTGGGTGGAACTCTACCCTGATGTCACTTCTGCCCTGTAGCCATGGCAGGACAGGAGCCAGGACGGAGCAAC